TGTATAAATTTTAAGGTCGGGGTTTCAAAGGAACAATCGGGAGATTAAAGTGGACCCCAATAGCTGCCCAGAGTGGCTGGTGGAACCCAACCAGATGGGCGGGGTAGAAATAATAAGTTGTTGTTGTTATGTTGTTGTTCCCAACTGCATCTACAGACACACCGTTAAGATCACTTGGCTGTGAGCGATCACCAAAGAAGAAGAAGCATCTTTCTGCTGGAACAAGGCTTGTTCCCAACAGCACATCAGCTTAGGGGAAATACAGCTGGGCCCTTTCTCAAGGAGGAAGAAGTGGTTTGATGAAACTGCTTCTCTCTCTCAGCACACCTGCTCCAGTAATATAGACCCTCCAAGTGTCCCTATTTTCCAGGGACGTCCATCATTTAGAGAAGCCACCCCAGTTTCTGATTTGATCCCGGAATGACCCACTTTTCCTTAGGATGTCCCTATTTTCATTGGACAAATGTTGGAGGGTATTGAGTTATCTGATCCCAGAGCCGTCTGAAGGCAATCCTGTATAGGTAAGGTATTTTTTAAATGTTTTATTATGTTTTTATATATGTTGGGAACTGCCCAGAGTGGCTGGGGCAACCCAGTAAGATGTGTGGGATAGAAATAGTAAAATTATCATTATGGAATGGGACGTCTATTTTCATTGGAGAAATGTTGGAGGGTATGGTAACAGCAGTGGCAGTCACAGCAGGAGAGGATGAAGGAGAGAGGGAATTAATTCTCCCCTTTGCCACCCTTCCATAGCTGCCACCGCTAGGGTAAGGAACAGAAGAAATAATGTGTTTTAAAAGGCAGGCTTTCTTCTGTCACTTAGCTTAGGGGTGGTGGTGATGAGAGTCAAAGGGAATAATTATTTTGCATTCCAGGAGTGCCCCCACAACACTCCTTTGAAGCTCTGCTGGGTTTCAGAGCCTCCCCACATCTTGTAAAACTCGCTCCATGGTGCTTCTTTCAACCTCCAAATTGGAGCACATTGCAGTAGTTTAGTATGGATGTGACTGGTATAGTGCATGGGTGACAAAAACTATGGTTCCTATGGGGGCAACCTCCATTTACGAATGATTTATAAAGGCTTTGCCTTCTATAACTTGGGACAGGTATGTCCATGCCCACATTTCACCATCTAGATATTTTTCAAAAGTCCCAGGACTAAACAGGCAGCGTGACTTATCTGTCCTGACAACCCGCAAGAGTTTATTTCCTAGCCGCCGCAAGTAGCCGGATTAATTGAATCACTCTCACCCACTGGGCAGATTTTGCCATGTCTTTCCACACCCAGCCCAACGTCCTAATACACTTCCCAGTGCCCAGATCAACAAATGATCTAGCAATGCATTTTGAAAGTGCGTGATCATCTTCCAGAGGGGATAGCTACTTACTGGTCATGGCTGGCTCCCATCTAATTAGCCATGCTGGGCCTGAAATATTACAGCCCCCCTGAAATATACTCGGAGTCCTGTAGTGATTTCATGCTCTTTATTTCAGCTTGTAAAACAGTGATTGATTTGCCCCCCAAACCTCAGGCTTTTATATACATTATTTACACAATGAGTCCCGTCTGACTGGCTGATTCTACTTCCCTCCTGGAGCCTGATTGGTCTTTTCCTGCAGGCCAATCAGTTGTTACATTCTAGGATCCTACCAGCCTAATAGGCTGATTAACTTCCTCCTGGAACCTGATTGGTCTTTTCCTGCAAGCCAATCAGTTGTTGCATTCTAGGATCCTACTTGCCTATTGTTCTAGGATCCAGGCTTAGTACATAACACCCCCCCACACACACACACATCGCCGCGGTTCCCCAAAGTATGCAACAAATCATTGTGTTAATTAATATTGGTTATAAGATCAATCTACCTATCAATATAAAAATATATATATAGCTACAACAACAATGTTCTTGCCAATAAGTGTAAACAAGGAAGAGAATAGCTGGGTGGGGTTGTTTTGGGTTGCCTTTCTCATATATTTATTTCCTTTATGTAAGGGTCCCTGTGAATGTCTTTGGCTATATCCACTTAGCCTGGCAATTGAATTACACATAAAACTGGGTCTGAAACTTAAAGGTCAAAGGCTGCTCCTACAACAATAGATATTGCCTCTGTGAACTTCAACTTTAAAAAGATTTCTTCTCCCCCTTCACATCTAGTAGCATTTTATTTATTTTTTGCAGGTGGGGGGGTGGATGTATGTTACTCTTATAAAGCCATCTTAAAGCTACTTAAAAGCCCCATAGAAATGAAACCAGAATGATCTGGTTACAACACGTTGTGTACTAACCCTCCACTGTCCTTAAATATTAGGCATGGGAAGCTTCAGAACTAGAATGAAAATATGCACAATGTTCCGTAAGTGGAAGTGGACTTGGGGCACATTCAGACACAGGGATGATTGAGTTAGGTTTTTTTCTGGTTACAATGCTGGCGCCTCTGTCACAGTTGCTAACGTTGTGCGTTACCTGTTGTGCTATGGAACAGTGTGCTTTTTTGATCAATATACCAACATGTCTTGCTAAATTACATTCACACCTGCAACCATGGTGTGAAACAACAGCAGAAATTGTTGACCACGTCACCTGTCTTTATGCCCATGCGTGCTTTTGTTTCTCCACGATTGACCCATGATGAAAATGGTGGGAAATGACTGTACGATGGAATACCACCCCAAATTTTGTCACATTGCATGATCCATGAAAACAGTGGAAAATCACAGCGCAGAACTCCCGTGATTTTCCAGGTGAATGAACGGGTTTGCAAATGGTATTTTAGTGGAAGTGATCAATACAGAAATGAGCACTAAATGTCCACAGGATACCACTAGATTTCCCAGAAGTGGCTTCTATGAAAAGTGTGAATGTGAAAAAGTAACAGGTAAGGGAATAAGGCTGTCTGAATGCAGCCCTAGGAAGAGGAATCTGTTGCTTGATTTTAATTTTCAGAAATTAAAGGTTAATAAAAAAAATAGAGATCTGTGCTTATAAAATTCAACAAGGAATAGTGGGTCGTTTTCTCCCTCAGAATCAATCATTGAGAATAAGCTTTGATACAAGTTGGGGAAGGGGGAGCGGCACTGGAGAAATCGTTACAACCAGTGATTGCAGGAAGCCCAACATCCTTGGAGTTAGATGACACTAACTGTGCCTTTGGAAGGTGATTAACCTCACCTCGCACAAAAAGAAACCCTATTTCAAATTGTAGCTAGGATGGCAGAGTAGGGGAAAAGATACCTTTGAGGTCACGAGAGGGCTAGGCAGATATTATTTTTCAGAAATTGCATCCTGAGGATGAGGAGGAAGAGAATGGACGATATATTGGCGAATGGTAGCTCCGACCACTACATTTTACATTATCCCTAGTTGGTTATTTTTCACCCTAAAGCAATGCAATTCATATCTTCGCTTTGTGTGAGCGCACAAACACAAAGGAGCAGGCCAGTCAGAAATATGGCACAGATGAATAATATAGACAGAGGCAGAAAAGTAGGTTCCATAACAGAGGAAGTGGTTCCCTCTAGACTTTGCTGAACGACAACTCTCATTATCCCTAGCCATTGGCCAAGCTGGCTGAGGCTGATGGGGGCTGGAGTCCAGCAACATCTGGAGAGCACTGTGTTTTCTACCCCTGTTCCAAAGGCACCTAGTATGGCGAGCATGCTGATGGGAGACTGATGGAACTTGATGTTGTTGCCTTGAGCCTCTGCAGAGGAAAGGAAGGAACAAAACAAGCTACAATCAGAATCCAGAACGAAACTGATGATGTTTGACACCATTGATTTATCACATGATCCATCTCATAGAGATCTGTCAAAGTTTACTAGTTTGCCAAATAGCTAAGTTTGGGTTGGTGTACCTGAAAGATCATCGCACCCTTTATACACACGATCAATCATTGTGCTCTGCAGCTGAGGGCTTTCTGCAGGTACAATCTAATCAGGAGATCCACATTGGGTCCCAGTACATTTACAAGCACAATTCAAAGTGTTGGTGCTGACCTTTAAAGCCCTAAACGGCCTCGGCCCAGTAAACCTGAAGGAGCGTCTCCACCCCCATCGTTCAGCCCAGACACTGAGGTCCAGCTCCGAGGGCTTTCTGGTGGTTCCCTCACTGCGAGAAGCCAAGCTACAGGGAACCAGGCAGAGGGCCTTCTAAGTAGTGGTGCCCGGCCTGTGGAATGGCCTCCATCAGGTGTCAAGGAAATAAACAACTATAGTGGTACCTCGGGTTACATACGTTTCAGGTTACACACTCTGCTAACCCAGAAATAGTGCTTCAGGTTAAGAACTTTGCTTCAGGATAAGAACAGAAATTGGGCTCCGGCGGCGCGGCGGCAGCAGGAGGCCCCATTAGCTAAGGTTAAACTTTAATTTCTACCCCTAAAAAAAATTAAAGAAATTAAAATTAAAGAAATTAAAATTAAAGAAATTAAAGTTCAGGTTAAGAACAGACCTCCAGAACGAATTAAGTACTTAACCCGAGGTACCACTGTACTTGACTTTTAGAAGACATATGAAGGCAGCCCTGTTTAGAGAAGTTTTTAATATTTGATGTTTTATTGTGTTTTTAATATTCTGTTGGGAGCCACCCAGAGTGGCAGGGTATAAATAAATTATTATTATATGGGCCTTTAGTGTTGTGACACCCAGCCTTTGGAATACCATCCCCTTGAATATTAGACTGCTGTATTTTTGGCACCTACTTTTTGTTTGTTGTTTGCCGCCCTGTGCTCAGGGGTGGATTTAGGCGAGCGTAACCAGTTCCGTCACACTGGGTGTGAAGCTTTGGGGGCACCTGCAACCATTATGTAGAATGGAAGGCAAGAGGCAGGGGCACAAAGTTTTGGCACTGCACAAGTTGCTGCTGAAATTTGGGACCTGAAGGTCTACCACTGTGGGACCCTTAGGGAGGAAGGGTGGGATATACATTTAATAATAAAGTTGTTGTTGTTGTTATTGAATTTCAAGGTTTCAGGCAGGAGCCTCTCCCAGCTGTACATGGAGACACTGGGGTTTGAACCCGGGGTCTTCTGCATGCAAGACAGATGCTCTACCACTAAGCTACTATGCTTCTTCAATCCTTTGCCACTCTGGTGAGATGTGTTGTCTTTCTATTTAACTCACAGTAGATGATTCTATTTCTGCATATACACTTGCAAATTAGCATATGCAATTCTTTTGCAAATAAGTGTCCTCTTTTGTCCTCTGTTTCCTTGTTGCATTTCCTCTTTTCTGGCAATACGTAAGTCACAAAGGAGGCTGGTGTGCAAGGCTACTTCTTGGAGGCCAGCCAAAGCTTCCTTCTGAACTGTGAGCAGCCTACCATCTGCTCTGGGGCTTGAGGTGGTATCAACTTACTGTTAGCAGGATACTAGTATTACTGAGAAAAATCAGATAGCCTCAACACTGCTGCTGCAGCGGCAGACCACAAGCAACATTATACAGCATGACAGGAACAGGAAGTGAGAGCAGAAGTTGCTTAGATCAGACAGACAACAATTGCACTCTCAGAAGCTAATGTATTGGTCTAATTCACGTGTCATCACCACTCCAGCACTTGTATTTTAGGATTAGTGTTGAGTTTGCTTTTCCCCTCTCCTCCCCCAATCCCCCTTTTTTGTGTTTTTCAGATTGTAAGCCTAAGGGCAGGGAATTGTCTTGTTTCTGATCTTTCTGAACCATTTTGCAAGTCTTTTCAGCTGAATAAAGCATTGTTTTAGTACTTTTTCTGGCTGAAGCATAAAACAATTCTTTAGGTAAATAAATAACCTATTAGTTACTAATTTCTTGGGAGAAAGCAATGACAAACCTAGACAGCATCTTGAAAAGTAGAGACATCACCTTGCCGACAAAGGTCCGTATAGTAAAAGCTATGGTTTTCCCAGTAGTGATGTATGGAAGTGAAAGCTGGACCATAAAGAGGGCTGATTGCCGAAGAATTGATGCTTTTGAATTATGGTGCTGGAGGAGACTCTTGAGAGTCCCATGGACTGCAAGAAGATCAAACCTCTCCATTCCTAAGGAAATCAGCCCTGAGTGCTCACTGGAAGGACAGATCGTGAAGCTGAGGCTCCAATACTTTGGCCACTTCATGAGAAGAGAAGACTCCCTGGAAAAGACCCTGATGTTGGGAAAGATGGAGGGCACAAGGAGAAGGGGACGACAGAGGACGAGATGGTTGGATAGTGTTCTCGAAGCTACCAGCATGAGTTTGACCAAACTGCGGGGAGGCAGTGGAAGACAGGAGTGCCTGGCTTGCTCTGGTCCATGGGGTCACGACTAAACGACTAAACAACAAGTTACTAATTATGTAACCTATTAGTTTACCTATTAGCAACAGCATTCTTGGGCACCATGCCTCCCCCCAAAAAAGTGCAACCCCAAAATTGTGTGAGATCGTGGCGGTCCTTTTGGCTGCCGGGCTCTCACGAGAAAAAAAATGTGACATCCCATCTCTAAATGACACCGCCATTTCCAAATTTGCACCTATAAATATAAATCAGCATGTGCAATCTTTATGCAAATCTGTGCATAAAGGCCATTGGCCTGAGACAGTGGGGCTCTTCTTGTGTGTTTTTCAGCCTACATTGAAACAGCTTCAGTGCAGATAGGCCATTTCTGCTTAGGAAATTCTTACAAACTTCAAAATTAACTTCTCAGCAGATCACCTTTTCTCTCTCTCTCATTCATATATATATATATATATATATATATATATATATATATATGAGAGAAAACCACCAACCCTTAGTGTCATCCTGTGTGTCTGCACTTGTACTCTTCCTCCCTGCTCCTTTTTTCTGCCTTCTGTTAATTTGAAAATATGCTTTTACAGATATAATTCTAACTAGGCGCCCGGCTGGATTAATTTAGCAGAATACAGCAATTATGTCCACAAAGAGGGGAAAGGGACAGTGCTGGAAAAGGAGAGCTGGCTTTTCTTTTATTGAACACCTGGGGCTTCCAGGTTGCAAATTATTAAGCATTTTGGAAAGACTCCCACAGCCGTGCTAAATTGTCCCTATGTTTCTCTGCTCAAGCTGGACTGACAAGCATCCTAACCTTCAGGAGCGGGGTAACCTTCTGACTGAGGTGAGGGGCGGGGAGGAGAGAGCAGGAGCATTTATTCACAACACGTCCCTCAAGCTCACTTAAATGTAATTCAGTCCTTTGTAAGGGTAAAACTAAGGGTAAAACTACATACAGTTGCAGTGTAACGTGTAGTTTTTCCCTTAGTTCAGTGCTAAGGCTTACAAAGGACTGAATTAAATTTAACTGAGCTTGTGGGACGTGTTCTGAAAAATAAATGTTAGTCTGACAGGGCTTTTTCCTTTTCATTCCACTGCAAAAAAACACACAAACAAACCACAAGAGGGGAGCTTTGCAGCTGTGAGGAGGAAGCAATGCTCAACCCATTCCCTGAAGGCTGCATTTCCCCAAATCTCCTCCCAGCTGCTCTCTCCCCCTGCCCCACTGTCCCAGACCTCAATCTGTGAGGTAAACACAAGTCCAGAACAAGGGCAAGTGGGGCTGCGGGTAAAGTTTGAGAGGGGGAAGTGGCTGGCAGGGAAAGGGTTAAAACCACTCCCATAACAAAATACAGAGACCAAAGGATGTCTTGCAACAAAGAAGGGGACACAACGGGACTCCACAGCGCCACCTGGTGCCATGGTGTTATGAAGCATATAAAGCGCTTTATCTTTACAAATGTAGCTGAGTCCTTTATATGCAGCTGCTGTGTAACATGTAGTTCGGCCCAGCTTTAGAGAATTGGGCTCCTTTTGCTCCTCACAGTACTCCCCAACCAAGCAAAAAGTAAGTTGTGCAAAGGGAATGCCATACAGAAAAAGGGAGGGAAGACACACCTCTTATAATGCAAAGCAGAAAAAGGAAAGAAAAAGTCCAGCTGCAAATAAAAGGAACAGATCATTGAAAATGATGATAAATAATGACCAAAAATTGACCTCACACTGATACCACGTCTGGCCTAAACATTTGCCTATGAGTCACACCACCACCATGTGGCCATAAAACAAATGTTTCAAAGTTCATACCCACAAAATGAGCCATTGCATTAATATACAAAACGAGAAAATTGATACTCTCAGAACACTCAGTAGCCACGTTTGAAAACACCTAATCGCTAACAACACAGCATACCGCCTTTTAAATACTAAAGTAATATTACTTTCTTGTGGAAAAAGCAACAAAATTACAAGACATGAATTCCTCCTGATAGCGGAGAAACAATTACCAAATATTGAATACCAAAGACATTCAGAGAACTGATACCGTGGCATAAATGCCCATGAGCTCATGTTTCCTTCCTTTCCCTAATACCTTGGGGTAGAAAATGATGTGTGTGTGTTTATTTCCAAATCTACTTTAAAGACACACCTGAGTGCTTGACTGCAACATCAGCCGATTATTACATTGCATTCAGTTCAGAGCAGAAGCTGGATTTTAATGTAGAAGGGGTCTTTCACAAACTGTGCTGAGAATGATTTAACAAGGGATCCTCCGCCACCAGTGGGAAACTGCCAAATCAAAACAAGCAGCCCGCAATATGCTCTTTCAACCATATTTAATATGGTTTCAGTAAGAAACAGACCCACCCAATGGCAACGCTTCTGAAAATCATTTGTGGGCTAACGTACGTAGCAGTTTTCCAGCACCTGCATAGATGTTAATGTTTGGCTCAGATTGTGGATGACTGCATATTTAGAAGAATTATACAGCCACACAGAAGACCACAGGTCAGGAGGCATGATATGAGGCAAGGGAGTCCATGACAGTAATAATTAGAAAACATCTAGGGATGATCTTTGCAGCAACATCTGGAATATTACTGAAGAGCCAGGGGCTACTCAAAGCACAATTAGTGGAGGCTATTCCATCCATACTTTTGGTCCTTTGTGCATGGAATGTTAAAATTGAGGTTTGTGTGTGTGTGTTTACTGCAGGAATGTTTTGCTTGATTTTTCAGATAAAAATGTGTTTGGCAGTTTTTATTTTGCCATTCTAAGGTTTAGCAGCCTTGCAGTCAAATTTGAAGACTCGCTGAATAAAGAACATAAAAGCAGATCTATATGTCTCATGCAAATGTGCATAAGAAACAAAACCTTGATGGTTCTTCTGGGTAGGGAAAAAGATTGCTTAGGAGGTGATTTGGCGTGGAGAAGCAACAGGGGGTGCTTAGCCTTTTTGTTGTCCATCATTTTCTGCAAAAAACCCAAAACCTACCACCCACTCAAGCCTCCCTTCCTGTTGTGGAGTCCCAGGCATGTGCTTGCCCTCTTAAATGTACAATTTCCATCAGAGGCATGACGTGCCTGATGCAAGTTGCACCAGCAAAGCAACGTGTCGTGAAAGGGTCAAGCGGTACCCCACCCCCTGCTATCTCTGCTCCAAATTCTCCCACCCAACCCACTGCTTTTCCCAACTTAAAATGGCCACTAAAACCTTGTTCCATGAATATGCAGGTATCTATGGGCTGACAAAGTGCTCTGTAAACTAAATCAAGTTAACACTGAGAGTCTATCAGAGGGACATGGCTTTCCCTGTTTACATCACTACTGGTGAAAAACACAGTTGCCATAGATCAAGTTTTATTTAAGGCAGATAAAGCTAAACTGGTCCACTATTAAGACTGGCACACAGTCTGTCTAAGCAAGCACTAAGTTTCATTCATAAGCAAACAGAGCTGACAAGCCAGCTTCCCTGCAATATACGACCTTCCTAGATCAAAAGGTTACCCGAAAAGCCAGGAGAATGGTTCAATAACCCATCCACATGGACAAGGGTAAGAACCACCTCTCATTCCAGTAGGAAATCACCACATGGTACAAATTCTGTGGGTTGACCATTGGGTGGTATCCAACCAAATGGTTATGCCAGTGAATTGACTCTGGAAACCGGTGGCTCCAGACAGCTTTGGATGGGAGTCATATTTGCAACAAATCTGTGCCTTACAGAAAGACTCCTATGACTTCAGTTACATAACAAGGGAAGTGGCCCTCAATTATACTTTAATTTGCAACAGTATATGGCTATAGCCACCTGCCTTAATCACTC